TTGATAAATGTCTTAGTTTCGCTGTTTTTGTTAAATTTCAACAAGTTTTGACCATTTTCCAACGAAATAACAATTAAATTTGATTGAAGACAACAAATTAATGAAAAAAAAATCAGAATTATATGAATCTGAAAAATTTATTACAATTTATTTATTATTTTTTATCAAAAAAGCACGTGACGACATGCAATTAATTAAAAAATTTAAATTTAGTAACGTTTTTAACACGAAACTCACAAATTTTGGGAAATTTTATTAAAATAAGGTAAATATTAACCAAATTAAGTCTAAAATGTTTAATTATTGTTTATTTTTCAATATTTAGAGCATTTTTCTTACAAAATTATCTTACAAAACGGTGAGGCAAGAAATTGCAAAAGTTGCTCTGAAATGCGATATTTTTTGTAAATTTTAAGCGTTTTTATGAAAAGACTCCCGAAATTTGTGAGATTCTAAAAACTAGATATGGAATTCCAAAATTACTTCTGAAATTCACTATTTACAATAATACCTTGAAACCCGGAAAGCGGAAGTATTGCACTAGCGGATTTTATGTTGAAAAATACATAAACTGATGTATTATATTAGAAGCGCAGGTGTATATGCCGCTTATTTCATCTCAAGGAGCAATACATATGAAATATTCCATTGTGTAAAGCATCTTTTTACAATCTCTAACAATACTATCACCGAAGCTGTAACATGAGATAACTACTAACTATTACACGTGAATAATGAGTTATTAACTGGTTTTAATATATGCACATGAGACTCGAGTAATGAAATTGTTACAAAGAAACATTAAATGTTTCTGAGGGTCGAAAATACGTCGTAAAAAGTTACGACAAGTAATTTAGACATTACAAACACTAAACGTAAAATATTTGGATTGATAAATACCAACAGGGACGTAACAATTGGCACGTATTCGAATAATTCTTGATTTATTTCAGTGTTACCGTAAAAAGAACATTTCCGTAATTGTTTTCAGCGAAATGACCGATATTAAAACAGCATTCATGAAATAACACAAAATTTCATTGTTGTTCATTTAATTTGCATTGTGAGTTTTTTGCAATTGTAGAAATTTCAGTTTAGCTTTTATTAAAAAATGTCTCTAATTGCACTTTGTAAATTAAAAAAAATAGAAATATTATATTAAAACTAATTATTTTACATCATCTTTGTCGGTATTTTTTGTAATATATGTTTCGAATTGTCGTGGACTCTCAAGGACGTTTATAATATATTTGTTTTTATATTGGAGTATTTTTTTGATAATTTAAATAAAAATAAATATTAATTATTTAATTTTAATTGACATTCAAAAAAATAATACACCTTCTTGTATAAAAATAGTATCTGGTTCAAGTTGCTGTGGATAATCAAAGTCACTTAATTAATTTCCCAAAGTATATTTACGCTTTTCGTAATTCTTTATTTATTTTACATAATTAAGATCTGTATTTTTATGAACTTTATAATTCAAATTGCCGTTAATTGTAATTAAATGTGGATTTTGTCAATAGGGTTTTACATTGTTTACAATTTTTTACTTTTTACTTAAAATACGTCTCGAATTGCCGTGGACACTCAAAATCACTAAATTTGAAATGTATTTATTAAAATAAAAAATAATTATTTTAGAATTTTTTATTTCAGAAGATTTTTATCTGTATTTTTATATAAAATATGTTTCGAATTGCCGTGGCCTCTCATAATGACTAAATAATTACATTAATTAGTCTATTCTAATTGAATAAACGAAGTTTTGTTATGTTACACTCATTGTTTATTATCTTTAATTTTTTACTTAAAATATGTCTCAAATTGCCGTGGATACTTAGACATTTAATTAACTTCGTAAATTTAAAAAATTGGAAATGTTTTATTAAAAAATTAATTATTTTTTTAGTTTTTTATTTATTTTACATTATCTTTATCGAAATTTTTATGTAATATATGTTTTAAATTGCCGAGGATTGTCAAAAGCATTTATATTGGAGTATTTTTCTGATAAAAAATGATTAAAAAAAAAAAATAATAATTATTTAATTTAATTGATAAAATAATACTTCTTGTATAAAAATCGTATCTGGTTCAAGTTGCTTTAGATAATCAAAGTCACTTAATTAATTTGAAATTAAGTATTTGGTTCCCTAATTATTTAATTAAAACGAGTTTTGTTAAATTGCATAGGTTTCAAATATTAATTTTGTTTTTCAGATACTTTTAATACTATTATGTGTCTCAAATTGCAAGTGTGCAATTATTTTGAAACTAAAGTATTAATTTTAGACTAATTAATTAGATTAAATCATATTTTATCATTTCCACTTAATATCTGTTTCAAGTTGACGTAAATAATCAAGCTCAGTTAACTAAAAAAATTAAATTAAGAGAAATAAATTAACATTTTTGATGTCAATTTTTCGTGACATTTACTAAAAATGAGTAATACCTTTTGAAACTTATTCGAGCCTTAAAAAAATAAGAAAATACTAAATTATCTTTTATTATTGTAGTTAGTATCTGTTTTCAGATGCTGTGAATAATTACGCTCACTTAATATACAGAGTGGTTTTAAAAAAATAGTAGGCACTGTAGAATTAATTTTTAATTCTCATTTTCACAGTTTGACCATAAATAAAAATTCTACGACACCTAAAGTTCTTTAAAAATTACCCTGTATATTGATGTAGATATTAGTAATATGTGTTCCGAATTGCCGTGTGAATTTTTGAAAAAATAAATAACTGATTTAAAAACTACTTTTTGGTTTCTTTTTTGAAATATTTAGATTGTATTGTCATTTTGGGCAATTTTTTCTTGTTTTATGTTGGTGCGACACATTTTTTTTTAGTTTGGGTTTTTTTTAGTTTTTTAGTTCGATTTAGATATTAGTAAACATGAAATAAAACACAATTTTATTGTTCATTATGATTTTTTTCTCAATTGTAGAAAATTCAGTTGTGAGTGTTTATTATCTTTTAGTTTTTATTTAAAATATGTCTCAAATTGCAGTGGACACTTGAACCCTAAAAATAGCATCTGGTACAAGTTGCTGTAGATAATCAGTCACTTAATTAATTTGCAAAATAATTAAACTTATTTTACATATTTAGTATTTTTATGTACTTTATAATTCAAACTGCCTTGGACTTTTAATTACGTTAATTAGTTAATTCTAATTAAATGTGGATTTTGTTAACAGGATTTTTTCGATTTAGATATTAGTAAACATGAAATAAAACAGAATTTTATTGTTCTTTGTGATTTTTTTTGTAGAAAATTCAGTTGCGAGTGTTTTCCGGGGTACAGCGGCCCTCAGTGCTCCTCCGGCCCCAACTCGTTCTGCAGCACCTCGCCCCCGACTTGCAAAAACGGAGGCACTTGCATGTAAGTATGATAATTATTTATTTAAATTTTTCCCGAGAAATAAACAACAATTGAGAGATTTTGTAAAAAAAAAAATTTGAAAAACCACAAAAGTAAGTTTACAATGTTTCATTCTCATTTATTTCGACAAGTTTAGAGCATTTTTCACTGAAAAACTAAATAAATTTTAAAAACAACTCACTAAATTAAAAAAAAAAAATGCCGCACAAAAGTAGAAAAATGCAAAATTATTTCTGAAATGCTTTTTTGGTTATTTCCATGGTTTTAGATAGTGTTTTACTGAAAAATCACTAAATTCGAAAAAAAGAAAAAAAGTGCAAAAGTTGATAAATGTCTTAGTTTCGCTGTTTTTGTTAAATTTCAACAAGTTTTGACCATTTTCCAAAGAAATAACAATTAAATTTGATTGAAGACAACATTTTTTTTAAAACAAAGTAATCATTAACAAAAGTAAATCTAAAATGTTTTATTTTTGTGTATTTTTTAAAATTTCGAGCATTTTGTCCTTCGAGATTAAATAAATTTGAAAAATTTTCTCGCAACAATGAGGCAGAAAATTGCAAAATTTGGTCTGAAGTACAGTTTCCACTAAAAAACCTCACAAAATTCGTAAGATTTTACCAAAACTAAGTAGGGAATTTCGAAATTACTTCTGAAATTCACTATTTTCGCTTACAKACTTTGTTGAATTTAAACAGTTTAACTGAGAAGCATAATACATTATAGATTTTGCTAGAATAAAGTAGAAAATTGCAAAATCAGGTCTAAAAGGTCTTATTTTCACTTATTTTGATCACTWTTAAACATTTTTTTAATCAAGAAACTAAATAAATTTAAAAGATTTAGCAAAACAAGCCGAAAATTGTAAAATTGGCTTTGAAATACGTTCTTTCTTCATGATAATAAGAGCATTTTTGCCTAGAAATTTACTAAATTCCTGAAAATTTACGACAACAAGACAAGAAATTACAAGATTAGCTCTGAAATGCAATATTTTTACTCATTTTGATAAATTTAGTGTTTTATCAAGAAATGCACTAAACTTGAAAATGTTGTTAAAGCAGTAACAAAAATTGCAAAATTGTCTCCAAAATGCGATGTTTTCTATAAATTTAGTAACCTTTCTTCCCGAGAAATAAATAAAATTTGAGAGATTTTGTTAAAAAAAAATTAAAAAACTACAAAAGTAAGTTTACAATGTTTCATACTCATTTATTTCGACAAGTTTAGAGCATTTTTCACTGAAAAACTAAATAAATTTAAAAAAAATGCCGCACAAAAGTAGAAAATTGCAAAATTATTTCTGAAATGCTTTTTTGCTTATTTCGATGGTTTTAGATAGTGTTTTACTGAAAAATCACTAAATTCGAAAAAAAGAAAAAAAGTGCAAAATTTGATAAATGTCTTAGTTTCGATGTTTTTGTTAAATTTCAACAAGTTTTGACCATTTTCCAACGAAATAACAATTAAATTTGATTGAAGACAAGAAATTAATGAGGAAAAAAATCAAAATTTTATGAATCTGAAAAATTTATTACAATTTATTTATTATTTTTTATCAAAAAAGCACTTTTTGTTGGAATCAAAGTGACATTAATTAAAAAGATAAAATTCAGTAACGTTTTTAATGTGAAACTCATAAATTTTGGGAAATTTTGTTAAAATAAGGTAAATATTAAAATTTTATTTTCCCAAAAAAGTTAAAATTCAAACAATTTGATTCAAAAATATTCAGAAAAACAAAAACATTATTTTGGATAATTTGTTTTGAAAGTTTTATTTTGTTTTTGCAAAGGAAGATTTCAAAAAAGATAACTTTACATAAAATAAAAAATTAAGAATTGTTTAAATAAAATAAAACTAAGTGGAAAATTGAAAAATTGTGTTGTAAATGCTTTATTTTTATAGCTAAAAATTTTTTTGATATATTTTGTTTTAATATTTTATTTTATCAAAAAATCTGATAATTATTAATTTCCTTGTTAAAAAAAGGAGTACTAGAGTGGCATTTTACCCCACCACTGCTAGCAAGTAGTGGGGATTTTGTGATGATTGGTCCTTGTTGGTGATGGGAGGAGACTAAATAAAGTGGTGTGTAATTAATTAATGAAAATAAAAATTTTAAGTAGAAATCAATTTTGTTTAATTAATAATTTATTGAAAGGAAATGTTATGTAATTTGTATAAATTGCATTTAGTTGGAACAATCTGTTTAAATTAAATAAACATCGGTTATCCAAATATTTCCATAATAAAATGGTGGAGTATAAATTATTCATCTTTAATTTTCCTGTTGAATTAATTAAATTAAATTATTCCGATGCATTTTGATTTGTGAAATAATTTGTGCGCTTTTACGGTAAATCCTAGAAATATGAAATTTTAAAATTTATCAAAAAAGACTAAAAAATACTCTTTTCTAAATCATAGTTAATTCTTGTAAAAAAAACTGATGTCTTATAAGTAGGGTGTGAAAAAACACTGTATTCTTGATATATAGGATGATTAAGTTAAAACTGTCCTTTTTACGTAACAGTCTTTCTTGTTCAATCATTCTCTAAGTAAATTAAAAAAAATACAGATTGTTTTAAATAACACTTTTTATGTAAAGATCATTCAATTGATTTGTATTGAAAAAAAGATAATTTTACAACTCAAAATCTCAGAAATATCTCTGAAATTTCGGTTAAAATTCAGTNCTTATTTCGATGGTTTTAGATAGTGTTTTACTGAAAAATCACTAAATTCGAAAAAAAGAAAAAAAGTGCAAAATTTGATAAATGTCTTAGTTTCGCTGTTTTTGTTAAATTTCAACAAGTTTTGACCATTTACCAACGAAATAACAATTAAATTTGATTGAAGACAACAAATTAATGAGGATAAAAATCAAAATTTTATGAATCTGAAAAATTTATTACAATTTATTTATTATTTTTTATCAAAAAAGCACTTTTTCTTAGAGTTTTTAACGTGAAACTCATAAATTTTGGGAAATTCTGTTAAAATAAGGTAAATATTAAGCAAATTAAGTTTAAAATGTTTTATTATTGTTTATTTTTCAAGATTTAGAGAATTTTTCTTACAAAAAGAAATTGCAAAAGTTGCTCCAAAATGCGGTATTTTTTGTAAATTTTAAGCGTTTTAAGCAAAAACGGAGGCACTTGCATGTAAGTATGATAATTATTTATATTTGCCCCAAGTTTACGGTCCCTTTACCATATAACAGACGAATTGCTTATTATTTCGCCCGTCTCTGTGAGAGCTTAATGTCGGCAGGAGGTCTATTACAAAGTTTTATTGCACCATTACATGGAAAATAATTAATTTCTTAAATATGGAACGACGTGGGAAGGGCGGAGAGGCGCTTACGTTTTTACTTTTCGCAACAGGAGGACAGTTTTGGGAAAATTAAAAAAGCGGTTTAGGGGAAAACTTTGACGGTGTGGAAATAGACTTTTTGTGCTATAAAAACAGTTATTTATTTGCTTATAGTCGCCAAATTTGAACCTGTGAGTGTTTTAACGAGAAACTGTGGGAAAATGAGGATAAAAACTGCCAAATTATATCTAAAATGTGGTATTTAATAAAGTTAAGAGCGTTTTTCAACGAAAATTTAAAATATTTTGCTAAAACAGTGTAGAAAATTGTTTATTTCGATAATTTTAAAGCATTTTTTGGCAAGAAGTGGGGCAAAAAATTGGAAAATTGAGTCTAAAATGTCTTATTTTATTTTTTTATTTTGGTGGATTTAGAGATTTTAATGCAAAACCAAGTAAATTTGAAATTTTTCTCTAAAACGAAAACAAATTGCAAAATGAGTTTTTGAATACGATTTTTTATGAGTTATGAGTGTTTTTGCCAAAGAGTTCCCAAAATTTGTAAGATTTTACCAAAACTATTTAGGAAATTGCAAAACTACTTGTGTTTTTTTTTATTTCAATTATTTTGATGTATTTAAAAATGGTTTTGCAGAGAAACTTAAAAAAAATTTCCGAAATAAAACAGAAAATTGCTGAATTTGGTAAAAGAAGTTTTAAACTTTTGCAAATACTTGTAAATTCATAATTTTAAGATGTTAGGAGAATATTTTATCTAGAAAAAAATGCAAAAATTGACTTCAAAACGTTGTATTTTCCATAAAAAATAAATACTATATTATATAAAACAAAGCTATAAAATGTTAACAATCATACAACAATTAAGATGAAATAAATTAAACTGAAAGAAATTTAGTAAAGTTTTTCGCCGAGAAACTAACAAAGGTCGAAAAAATGAAAAGAAAAATTCCAATTTTACTTTTGAACTGCATTATTTTCGATTATTTTGATGAATTTTGTTAAAGTTTTGGTGAACAATTTTATAAATTTGTGAGATTTTATCAAAATAAAGCAGAAAATTGCAAAATCAAGTCTAAAACATCTTATTTTTACTCAAGTCAGGTCAGGTCAAGTCAAGTTGATAAGTTCAAGACAAAATATTTTTGTCAAAACAGGACAAAAAATTGCAAAATTGACTTCAAAATGTGTTTGTTGTAAATTTAGTAGGTTTTTATACCAAGAAATTCAAAAAATTTGGGAAAATTTTGCTAAAACAAGGTAGATATTAACAAAATTAAGTCTAAAATGTCTTATTTTTGTTGATTTTCTAAGATTTAGAGCATCCTTTCCTGAGAAATTAAATAAATTTGAAAATTTTTCCAAAACGATGAGACAAGAAATTGCAAAATGCGATATTTTTTGTAAATTATGAAGTGTTTATGAAACTCCCAAAATTCCCAAAATTCGTGACATTTTACTAAGTAGGGAATTCTAAAATTACTTCTGAAATTCACTATTAAAGTCTAGATTTTGACAAAATAAAGTAAAAAATTACGCATTTAAGTTTAAAAAGTCTTATTTTCACTTTTCCATAGGTTTTAAACATTTTTTTAATCAAGAAACTAAATTAATTTAAAAATTTTTGCAAAACAAACAAAAAATTGTAAAAATGACTCTGAAATA